CCACCAGAGGTCACCCTTTCCATTACATTGACTCTCGCACAACACAAACTGTTGCATAGCACCCCGGACTACATATCCCATCATTCATTGCACGGTTTGCACACTGCACTGATTGCACTCATTGCACACAGCTGTTTCTTATCACCTCACTCACTATATAACACCCACTCTAACCACCTTTCTCTGCTGAGTATTGTTTAGCCTGTTCCTAGTTCCTTCCCGTATTTCCTTGTTTTGCCTTGCCTTGTCGGTTTCCTCGGTTCTGATCTTTGCCTGTCTCCCTGGATTTATCCCTCTAGTCTCGCCCCTGTGATTCTGTCTGCCGATCGTCGACCTACGCTAGCCCTAGGACTATTCTTGTGTTTTGCCCGCCATATACCTGTTTGCCATTGTTTTGACCCTGCCTGTTATGACCACGTCTCTGTCTTCTGTTCATAATAAAGCTTGCACATGGATCCACACGTCTCACGTCTCTGTCGCCCCGTTACAGTAACCTTCTCTTTTTATATATTTTGGTCAGTTCAAGAATCATTTGTGCAATTTTATATTATTTATCTGAAAGAATTAAAAGCAGTTTCATGTCTATCCTTGTATGGTTGAGGTTGATATGGGATTTAGAAAGTAATAAGTTATACAATACTTTTTGGAGAGAGTAATTTGTACAGTAATCTAATTACACTGTTGAAGATATAATTTGTAGCTAATAATGAATTACTTTTTTAGAGTAACTTACTCAACACTGGAAATAACGGGAGGTGTTGCAAATATGGCCGCAGAGTGAACAGACTTTGGGACTTTGGTATAAATGCCCTGAGCACTGTGTTGTGTAGGCTACGACTCTGTTGTTTTGATGCACTGCTTACTTTAAACTATAGAAACAGTGAAATGCTGCAACTGTTGGTCTGGATGGAACCAAACCGGACCTTTGTGGTGATCCCTGATGTATACTGAAACATTGGGGGGGGATGTCTTGAATGATTTGGCAACAATGAAGGTTTTTTTTTTTTTTTGTCTTTATTGTGTGACATTGGCATTCATCATGTGACCAGACCACAAGATCTTACATGACATACCATAATGAAATGCAAAGCAATTTTAGTCAGAGATACAGCACAGTTGAGAAATAGGAATAGCAGTTGTAAAGATTACAAAGCATTATAAAAATGACAAGAGAAGCTGTATGCATTAATATGCGCATACGTTATAAGGAGCATTTAAAGTTTGAGAGGAAGCGTCAGATCTCTGTGTGTCACTCAGTGATGGCGGCTGTGGACGAATACTGCGGGCTGATCTGCTTCAGCTTCTCCATGACAGACTCGTACTGCTCCTTCCATTCATCTTTTGAGAGTGAAGACGGACTGGTCTTCAGAAACTTATACGCATCCTTAGACTGAATACCGAAGACACCTTGTGCTCTCTGACAGCATTCACCAAATCTCTGCCAGTGCTGAAAGATTAAAGCCACACCATTAATCACTACAAAACATTGACATAAAAATCACTCACCTGTTCATTCATTCACCATTTTGCATCAATTTTGGACTTTGTCACACCAATTAATCTCACATTGTCTACCATGGGGAAAAAAATCAGCAACACTTTACCTAAAGCCTTTATGTATAATGCATGATAAAAGTAATGCATTAAATATAGCAGCAAGCAGCAATATGGGGCCAAGCCCTGAATGGTCAGAAAAAGCTGCACAAAGCCGGAAAAGCAAAAACAGCATTTAGAGAATGTACACAAAAATCGGAAGTACATGTGTGAATGAACTCAAAATGAAAAAAAACAACAACATTTATTTCTAAAACCAAAAAAAAAAAAAAGAGGAAGAAAGATAAGTACTATGCTTACCCAGATAAAGGAATCAAAATGACACAACATCACACACAACTTCAAAAAGTTGACCCACACTGAGTTTAAACGCATAAACACGGCTCCAGCGCAGATGAATCTAATGTTTTGAGAAGTATGTGTGGCACTCAGTCACCGCACCGGTGTGGATATTTACTGTACTTAGGAATCACAAATTCTCGCCTACGTCTTGGAATATGACCCAAATAAGAATTTTCACCGGATATTGTCATCAGAACAAGTAAGTAACAAGTCTGCCACGTTTGTATAAACACATAATCCTTTATGGATTACAATCCGCCATCAGAATGATAAATTTAATTATTCCAGCTGCTGTGAGAAAAGGCTATAAACGATCCACACCTGCAGGATCCTCACATGCGATAGCCTAGTAGCCGGGACAACTTCTTTACGTTTACAGACGTGACGTAATGACGCAGTGGCATGCTCGAATTCCCCGCGAAAACCTACCCGTACCACTCAAATTAGAAAACATGATTATAAGCTAACCGTTGTGAATCTGGCTAAAGTAAGGCGATAGTTTTTAACACTGGCTGGTTATGTACTTGCTCAAATATTGATTTCGGATCATTTTTAACCAAAAAAAGTTATGGACTGCAGCTTTAAACCACGCATTTTAAGTTTGGTTATAATTATTTCCGACAAGATATAACGCATTACAACACACATTATGAATAATTACACATGTATGTATATAATTATACACAAAGGCTTTAAGTAAAGTGTTACCAAAAAATCATGATAATAAAAATTGCTTTTTGTATTTTGCATATATTATTAACTCATGCTTTATAACAACTTTGTGGTTTTATTGAGAGTATGATGGCACAACTAATTCTTTGTTCTGTTTGTTCAACAAATTAACAAAATAGGTTTAAGGCTTTATAATGATTAAATATAAGAGGAAACCATAAGAAATGGTCAACCAGACACAAAATAAAAGCACAAACATGTCTTTTGCAGCATCTTGACACAAACAAGGCAGTGTTTCAGAGGTACAGATCTTATGAGATGTACAATGTCCTCATCTTACCCTAAAGCAGTTAAGACATTTTTAAAAACACATTCACTGCTTAGAGCTACCTAATAATAATCAAAGGCCTAATCCATTTTATCGTCTAAGTTACCTTTCCTGTTGCTTCAACGGAGGTCAGAAACTCCTCCTTCAGGTCCTCAATGAGATCCTCTTTAACAAAGGTCTTGTCTTTCAGTGAGTCCAGCAGAGTACGCACTTTCTCACAGAACTTCCGAAGCTGAACCAGAATTTGTTGGATTCGAGAAAGACACTGCTGGACGCCCTCCAGGAGGATGGGACTAGGAATCACACCTGGACAAACAACAAAGTGGATATTGACTTGAGACTATTTATACTTGATTTAATAAACTTATAAAAAGCACAACATGTATTCTGTTTGTAATCTTTCAAGTGCTGCAACACAAGTTCATGAGAAAGTTTCTCACCCAGCTGTATTCTTGAAGTGGCCAGCTGCAGCTGAAGATCAGTCAGTTTGACTACGATGTCCCACTGTTTGTTTTGCAAATTGCTCTTTTCAGAGGTGAGACGGGACAGTTCAACGTTGAGAGCTTGAGTTTGAGCAACAGCATCATGAGTAGTCATAGTATCATAAATGGATTTAATAAGGGGTCCAACAAATGGCACTAAGACAGACAGGATAGCCATACCATAGCTTTTTCTAAAAACTGCAGTTTTAATATGATTCTGCAGTTCCAAGTTTTTTTCCATTTTTTTCTCCATTTCCTTTAAATTTTTGCCATTTTTTCTGAACTCCTCTTCGAGCTTAGCTACATCCTCCTCCAGACTCTTCATCTCCTCAGAGTGCTGAGTTTGTTGTTTTTCTGTCTCTTTTTGTTCTTGAAACACATCACTTGTACACATCGCCACACTTCGGTTTTGATGTTCATACCTGAATATGGTGCATAAATGATAAACGATTGAATGCAGTGAATAGACTGGCAGGTGTACAACTGCATGATTTATTACCACATACAGGTGCATCTCAAACAATTAGAATATCGTGAAAAAGTTGTATGAAAGAAACTTTCATATATTCTAGATTCATTACATGTAAAGTAAAACATTTCAAAAGTTTTTTTTGTTTTAATTTTGATTATTAGAGCTTACAGCTCATGAAAGTCAAAAATCCAGTATCTCAAAATATTAGAATATTTCCTAAGATCAAAAAAAAAAAAAGGATTTGCAAAACACAAAAGTTCAAGTTCATTAAAGTATGTTCATTTATGCACTCAATACTTGGTCGGGGCTCCTTTAGCACAAATGACAGCATCCGTGAGGTGTGGCATGGAAGCGATTCGCCTGTGGCATTGCTGAGGCACTATTGAGCTTCAGCTCGTCTGTATTGTTGGATCGACTGTTTCTCATCTTCCTCTTGGAAATATCCCATAGACTCCATATGGGGTTCAGGTCAGGCATGTTGGCTGGCCAATCAAGCACAGTAATATCATGGTCAGCAAACCACTTGGAAGTGTTTTTTTCACTGTGGGCAGGTGCTAAAGTCCTGCTGGAAAAGGAAATCATCTCCAAAAAGCTTGTGAGCAGATGGAAGCATAAAGTGCTCCAAAACCTCCTGCTAGACGGCTGCATTGACTTTGGACTTGATAAAACACAATGGAGCAACACCAGCAGACGTCACGGCTCCACAAATCATCTCTGACTTCAGAAACTTCACACTGGACTTTGTAGCGGCTACTCTGTAGTTACCAAACGCCACTGAGAGGCTAAAACAGGAACTCAATGCATTTGCAACGCAACAACAATAAAATATCGGTGAGGCAAAAATTCTCTTTGTTGTTCTTCTTTATTGCACAGACTGATGATATCAAATTTTTGTTGTATAATGTTGTATTGCATTGGTCAACAATGAATACATCGCCCCTGCACACCCCTCTCCCTGGCATCTCTAACAGTTGATTGATATTCCCATTCTTGCGTAACCCCATGACCCTCCACCACAAACACGTGACATAAGCAAAACACATTAACTATTTCATGTCTACTACAGACTTCAAGCAGCTTGGATTCTGTGCCTCTCCAGTCTTCCTCCAGACTCCAGACCTTGATTTCCAAATGAAATGCAAAATGTACTTTTATCTGAAAAGAGTACTTTGGAGCACTGAGCAACAGTCCAGTTATTTTTCTCCTTAGGTAAGGTGCCTCTGACGTTGTTTCTGTTTGAGAAGTGGCTTGGTAGCCCTTTTCCTGAAGACGTCTGAGCGTGGTGACTCTTGATGCACTGACTCCAGCTTCAGTCCACTCTTTGTGAAGCTCTCTCCCAAGTGTTTGAATCGGCTTTGCCATTATTGTGGTTTCAAAGAACAAGAGATACCTGGAATTTATACTGTAGGGATAGTCATTTAATGACACTCAAATGTAAATATTCTAATATTCTGAGATACTGGATTTCTGACTTTCATGAACTGTAAACTCTAATAATCAAAATTAAAACAAACAAAAAAAACACTTTTGAAATGTTTTACTTTACATGTAATGAATCTAGAATATATGAAAGTTTCACTTTTTGAAATGTTACAAAAAAAATAACTTTTTCACGATATTAAATTTTTTTCAGATGCACTTGTATATTCTGAGGTTTAAAACCTTTTAAAACTTCATTTTGTTTTGTTTTTAAGACAATGCATTTTCTTTATCCTAATAAAGAAAATTATTTTTGCTCTGAAAAAATAAACTTCCCTAGATATTGATAAAGTTTTCACCTCTTCACCATGTCATCCATGGCTCTAATGGTGTCATCAATCCATGATCTGGCTTTCTCCATATATCTCACAGCCAAAGTGGGTTTATTCATTTCAACCGCCGACTTCAGCTTTGGGAACAGGGAGGAAACCAGGTTGTGACTCGTGCTGACACACTAAGAGAAAACAGCATTTATCCACAAAGTTAGACATTTATTGTATTAAGTCCTCACAATTCTCAGTGACCCTTTAACAGTAGTACCATTAAATCACCATAACAGTAACATAACAGTAGTCCATAGATCCTGTGGTTGCTTATAGAACAATATTTTATTTACATTTTATTTAAAAAATAATAGTGAAAACAATAGTTAAGCAACTGTTGGAGGTTGTGAATTAAAATAATATATTTTTTAGAAATATCAGTCAGGTGTCAGAGAAAACCATACAGAAATGGCACTTTTAAGAATGACAAATGATTTATTGATGGCAGACGATGCTGGAGAGTGTTCTGTTTTAATCTTGTTAGATTTGACTGCAACCTTTTATATAGTTGATTATTCAGTTTTAATTGATACATTAAATAGATGGGTGGGAGTTTCAGGGAGGGAGTTGAACTGCTTTGGTACTTATTTGTCAAATAGGACATTTGTATTGTCAGTTGGAGATGATTTATCCTCCCCTTCTACAATTGTGGTGTTACAACTATTACTGAAGGCAGTGGCTATTTGCACTAAGTGCAAATAGCGATAGATGCTATTTACACTACGTAAAAATAGCAGTATTTTCTTTGCAATAATAGTAGTTAGATGCTATTTATATAGTTACTAATGACATTATGCTGGCTACAGATAATGGGAGTGCTGTTGCTTTGGTCCTTTTAGATCTTAGCTCAGCTTTCGATATGGTTGATCATACAATTCTTATTTCCCGACTGGAAAATCTTGTAGGCATTCAGGGCACCGTTCTAAATTGGTTTCAGCCCTTTTTAACTAACAGGAAGTTTTCTGTATGCATTGGAAAACACTTCCTCAGCAGCACATCTCTCCTGTGGTGTTCCACAGGGATCTATTCTCGCTCCAACATTGTTATCTTTACAACTGCTGCCATTGGGCTCCATCTTTTTAAAATATGGAGCATCTTTGGACTTATACGCTGATGACACCCAATTATACCTGCCCCTTAAACATAATGATTCAAGCTCCATAGAGGTCCTGCTGGCGTGTTTACAGGAAGCAAAATTATGGCTTACCCACAATTGTCTGGCCTTAAACGAGAATAAAACCGAAGTAGTACTGTTTGGTCCAAGTGATTTTTATGACTTAGGTGATCTTGTCCTTGGCGACTTAAGCTCTTATGTCTCCCCATGTGTGAAAAATCTAGGCGTGTTGTTTGATTCAGGTCTCAAGTTCGATAAACAGATTAATTCTGTTGTTAAGTCATGTTTTTAGGAAGGGTTCTGGTCGTCCCAAACGTCTTCCATTTAAGTATTATGGAGGCCACTGTGCTCTTAGGAACCTTAAGTGCAGCAGAAATTTTTTTGTAACCTTGGCCAGATCTGTGCCTTGCCACAATTCTGTCTCTGAGCTCTTCAGGCAGTTCCTTTGACCTCATGATTCTCATTTGCTCTGACATGCACTGTGAGCTGTATGGTCTTATATAGACAGGTGTGTGGCTTTCCTAATCAGGTCCAATCAGTATAATCAAACACAGCTTGACTCAAATGAAGGTGTAGAACCATCTGAAGGATGATCAGAAGAAATGGACAGTACCTGAGTTAAATATATGAGTGTCACTGCAAAGGGTCTGAATACTTAGGACCGTGTGATATTTCAGTTTTTCTTTTTTAATTAATCTGCAAAAATGTCAACAATTCTGTGTTTTTCTGTCAATATGGGGTGCTGTGTGTACATTAATGAGGAAAAAAAATTAACTTAAATGATTTTAGCAAATGGCTGCAATATAACAAAGAGTGAAAAATTTAAGGGGGTCTGAATACTTTCCGTACCCACTGTATATGATATTAATAAAAGCTACTACTGCTGTATCTCTTGCTCCAAATTAAAGCACATCACCTTGAAAGCACTTTAAAGACAAAATGCAGAGCTTTTGCTAATATTTATATTTATTTCATATAAATATATTATATAGATTAACATGAATATTTATATATCCTTAATGCGTTACACAAGCAATTATATTTTGACAATTACTATACAACTTTTAATTTACAAACAATATAAATTACATATAAAAAAACTTTTAAGCTCTTTGTGAACTTATAGATTATTTTTTTTTAAAAATTCCAGATTTTTTAGCTTGTCAGCAAGTACGAGACGGAGGCCGTGATGTTGACAGAGAAAAATGACTTCGAGCCTCTATATGCGTCACACGCTCCTCAAAATAAACCCTCAGAGAAGTATATGAGACAGACAGAGGAAGAGAAGCTGTAGAAAGGCCATGAAGGCCGCTGTAGAGCCGTACTCCTTCACTGACACAGACATGAGCGGCTGAAGAGCCACTGACCCACAACACAGCGCTTGACTGACACTCGCTGTTTTCATTCACCCCTCCAACCTCCACAGCTCCTTCTGGAGCGACCCACGACTGCCAGTATAACAAACGTCTGCTGTACTTCCATTTACAACGAGGTAGAGTTCAGTTCATACACACCCGTAACCCATAAACACATCCACACAGCTCCCGGTCCTCAGGCTTTTATGAGAAAACCGCTTTATTGCGAGCTACTAATAGCCAATTAGCATTGTGTGTTCGGTGGCCGGCCGTTCCAGGGTGTGGATGGACAATCTGCCTCTCCAGGTGTGTTTTCTGCAGTTAATACACCGTATGCAGACAGTCGTGCCCACTCAGTCAACAGAAACGGGAATTCTGACGTAACTTCCTCTGTGTGCTGGCAGCCCTTACGAAAAAGAAGTTTAGTCAAGTGTGCTATTAGTATACTTCTTTTAAACTAAAAATAGGAAAGTATACTTTTAGTCTACTTTTTATGTACTTCTCAGAAATGGGCTTTATGTACTTCTCAGAAATATACTTAAAATGACATTTAAGTATACTTGACTTATACTAAATATATTTTAGCTATATTTGTGCTCCTAGAATCCGTGTTTTCATTGTTATACTGTAGGGGGCGCTAGTACACATCTTCTGTACAGAATTTCCAAAAAACACAAGTGAAGAAGAAACCGAAACAACAGATGCTTCCACATGTATTCTAACACGATCATCAGACATAAAACAGCATCAAAACTGTGTAAAGTTGATGTAATGTCGACCAATGAAGAGGTAATAATGACTGTCAAGCTTTGGGGTGTTGATCGACTTTATCTACGTTTTGATTATCATTCTGAATCCAATTCATAGTATTTTTTTTAGCTTTTTGTTCAAAATGTTGTTTATTTGTTTATTTTTTATTTATGAAACTTATCTACATTCAAGTGTTTAAAAAAAGAATGCATGAAGCTAGAATAACAAATTTTTTTTACAAGCAGATACCCTGTTCTTTTGATGTTTTGTATGTTCAGATATTCATGTAACAAAATATATACAAATTAATACCTAAATAGGGACATAGTAGTATACTTAAAGTATGATGTAAAGTTCACTTAAAGAAAACTTACGAGTATACTTGCAGTATAGAACTACTAAACTAGTAGTTTACTTAGACTATACTTCAAAGTGTACTAAAATGCAGTATTTAATTAGTAAACTATCAGTATACCTATAAGTTCACTTTTAGTATAGTTGCAGTACAAGCTAAAAATATTGATGTAAACTAGTTGTGTACTTAAAGTTTACTACTGTTATACTTAAAAGTATACTTTTATATATTAGAAAGTGGGCCAATTTAGTCCCAAGGAGTATTGAAATAGTACACTTACAAGTATACTACTAGTACACTGATATTTGTATACTTGCTACATAAAGTATACTTAAATATATACTTGAACTTTACTTAAGTATACTTAATAAAATAAACTTGAAGTATACTACTTTTTGGTAAGGGTAACCAATCTTGATCAAAGCAATAAGGTAAAACAACCAACAGGAATTGTTTCAGCATGGTAACGCAGCGAAATGTATTTAGTTTTAATTGTAGTTAATGATGGTAATATTTAACATATACCTTTAGATTTTAGAATAGGTCATGATCAAAATACTGTAAAATGCTAATAAAATAATAATAATAATGATCTTAAAAAATGTAATAATAATAATTTAAAAGGCAGAAATGTCTTTTGTATGCTGCTGAAGACATTAAGTTGATTCAACATACAGATCTTGTAAAAAAAAATTAACATTGATTTACAAGTGTTTTTGTTAACCTTTTTCAACCATTTAGCATTAAACATTTTTCAATGTTGTTTCAACGTTAAAACAACAACAGTCATTATTTCAACCATATTTCAACGTTGAAGGTAGGTCATGTGCCGGCTGGGAATATTTTTAAAAAAAAATCCTCTGTGGTAAGGACAATATCCGTGATCACGGATTTATGAAGTGCATCTTTTAATGCACTTCAATATGCTGACGAGGAATTGTATTTTGTTTCTTTGTGTATGTACACAGCGGAATGACAATAAAATGAAACTTGAAACTTGAAGTTTTTGGTTTACCTTCAGCAGAATGGCCTCAGAGGATCTGAACAGCTGTTGTGTTTCAAGAGCTCGTTCTCTGATCAGATGCTCCAGCTCTGGGAAACTTCCCAGATGCAGGTAAGACAGATGATAGGGAAGATCCGCTCGCTCCGCAGACGGAAGAAGGTTCTGAGTGAACTCCAGACTCCATGTGGAATCACTGATGACAAGCTCTGAAACACCAAACCAAACTTTACTGATGGCTAACAACCATCTGAGTTCAAGTGGGTGAAGTGGGGTTGTGATATGGGTGTATGGTTGGTTATGTATACCAGCCTGTTGAGTCTCGATTCCTCTCACGGTTTCTTGCTCATCTTCTTCTTTAACTGCTTTACCTGTGCATGAATGTGCTTTTTCTTTCAGCACTTAAAACATTTTTACTTTACCTCCCCTGTTTGTCACATGAAATGTATGCACAGAACTGCTATTTTAGGTTAAATGAATGAGTTTGAAATGGAAAATGTCTCACCTTTGCAGTCAGCCATGTCTTTTTAAAAATGAGTGTATGCTACAAGCCTCCAGCTGCAAAGTCTCTTAAAACAAATATGACAGAAGATGTGATACAAGTAGAATCAGACACTTATAAAAAATGTGTATAACTAAAAGAGGTGTGTGAGATTCAAAAGCTTCATATACAGCTTCCCTTTTTGTTTTCCTCCGTCGTCACTTTGCCTTCCTTTATATACAGTCACAATTTTAAAAAGTGTGTGTGTGTGTGTTAGGGCTGGGCGATATGAGCTAAAATTCATATCATGATATTTTACACTGTCCAGGCAATATCAATATTATATTGCGATATGAGAAAAACAATTACAAAATATTTTAAACTTCTATAACTAGAAAAAGTGAGGGATTGGACATAAACCTGAAAACTCTCTTTTTATTGTGCCATTGTTTTTCCACTGTTTGTGTTTTGAGTAGGCCAGTGGTTCCCAAACTTTTTCTGCCGGGAAAGTTTTTTTGGAAAGTCTCTTACGCTCACCAAGGCTACATTTATTTATTAAAAATACAGTAAACACTGTAATATTGTAAAATATTGTCAATTTAAATGGTCTTCAGAAATCTTCAGAAATCATTCTAATATGCTGATTTGCTGCTCGAGAAACATTTATGATTATTATCAATGTTGAAAACAGTTGTGCTGCTTAATATTTTTGAGGAAAATATTTTTTCACGATTCTCTTATAAATATTTGAAATGGTCCTTTGTGTCAGAGCGCTGGAGTTCGTCAGAAATAGAACGGGGCATCAGTTTACTGTCATGGATTTGTCGTGTCGCATCGCGCCGCATCCACAGCAGAGAACATCACTGGGTTCTATTTGCTTTTGTCATGTCGCGCCGCTTGCGTCTGGTGTAGACACGTTGTTTTGGTATTTGTGAATCTTAAGTAAATTCATAATATGCTTTACGTTTACCTGGCACTGGAAGTCCTTTCACAAACTTGTAACTTACATGCTTAGAGCAGAACCATGCATCGTTCATTTATATTTCTACATGGCTCACTGCAATACAACTCTGATTCTTCAATCACGCCATCTAGTGGTCTTTTACACCACTGGAGTAGGCGATTTGTGCTCTATTAATTTGGTCTGTTACGATGCTCTATGTGCAGGGGTGCACATAATTTTTTTTGGCCTGGTTCTCATCTCAATAGAGCACCATAATGCATGGCAATGGTAACAAAATCTATGAGAGTAAAAAAAACATGTTTCTCATCAATCTTCTTCTCAGAATCCTCTATCTTTTTGTTGATGTTACGAAGGTTTTCTTCCAGGCCTTCCACAATCTTCTGAAGCGTCTAATAAAATAATAATAGTAAATAATAAATAATAGTCGTATAATAAAAAAAAATGTTCTAACGTTTTGAGAACTTTATTAAAGATCCCTCTGAACAAACATTCTATCGTTACTGGAAGAACGTTAGTTCATAACTTTGAGAGAACCTTGCCAGAATGCTACCTGTTACCTCCTGGATTATTGCTTAAATACATATTTGAGCTCATAACATAAGAAGGCCTAATAATATTCCATACTGTTCAAAGATTTAGAATTTTAGATTCATAATCATTTACTGTATAATTCATCATTTGTGTCATTTCCTGGTTTGGGTGAAGGACAAAAAAAAAAAAATCAGACTGCAGCTTCATTATATTTTAAAGGGGATAGTTTATAACATCATTTATATTTCAACATAATATAAATTATGTTACCTAGCTTACCTCTTCAATAAAACATTGCCTGATCAGAAGCTGCACTGACAAATACATTTTTCACAAAAGCTGCACTGAATCTTTTGTGAAAACTGACTCAATTTTAGAGTTTTGTGTGAGGAACAGAAATGTGATTCTGTGATAATCTTCCAATTTCATTATCACTGATGCAAACTCAAAAAAATTAAAATTTCATATAAAATTTCCATCCATTTGGAGTTTTAACATAAACTAATAAACTTAATGTGCTGCATCTGTCAGAAATTTTATATGCAATTCAAATAAAACTTAAATTTAGCTCTAAATATTAGCCCCAAGTATACTGTTACACTATTTATTAATATTTTTAATTAGTTTTAATTTTTATATTTTATGCTAATTTTAGTTTAGGTTTTAGTTATTTACTACATTAAAAAAATATATTTATAATAAAAGATAAAAATGTTTATTTTAGTTTTAGTAATTTTACTACTTAAGCATATATTATTTCAGATAACATTTCTGATTTATTAATTTTTGAATTAATTTCTTTTTACATTTTAGGTAATTTTTTAAATGTTTTATTTTGTTCAGCTGACGTTTATTTTACATAAATTAAGCTTTAAGGAAAATGCTGTTTATTAGTTTATAGTTAACTATTTAACAAAACAACTAAATGTAACACCAAGCCAGCAGAGGGAGCCCTCGCCCGCACTACCACCCACACACTAAACTAAAAAAAAATTACGAAAACTTTACCTAAAATGAAAATGGAAAATATATAAACTAAAAAACTCATATTATTAAAGGGGTCATATGATGCTTTTTTAAAGATCATTATTTTGTGTATTTGGTGTAACAGAATATGTTGACATGCTTTAATGTTCAAAAAACACATTATTTTTCAAATACTGTACATTATTGTAGGTCCTCTATGCCCCGCCTCTCTCAATGAATATGTGTTTGCAGTACACAAGCCACGGTTAAGACAGCTGCCTCCACTGTGATGTGACCCTGTTCCCCCCTCCCCCTCTCTCTCTCCCGCGCGCTCTCTTTCTCTCTCTCTCTCTCTCCCTCTCCCTCGCGCTCTCTCTCTCGCTCTCTCTCTCACACACGCGCACGCGCACACACACACACACACACAATGCGCAAAACTCCGCATTTGAACAGTCAATAGCAAATACTTAAACTAATAACAAAACAGCAGCTGATTCAGAAGCGCCAGATTGTCATAGCAAAGTCAGAACTACCTCCTCTGCTAGGTTCACGAAACGGTCGTCCATAAAATGCATTGCTGTTCTGTTGTAAGTAATCTTAAAGATTCCTAAATGCATCTACTTTCGGAAAGACCAAATAAAGTGCTTTTGCTTTCGCCTAGAAACACACAGCGTCTCCCTGACATGGCTGCATCAACACTAACTGCGGTTACTGAAACCACGCCTTCTTTCTTTGCATGCACATTTGGGCGCATTATGCAAATGCTGCTTCTACACTAACTGCGGTTACTGAAACCATGCTTTCTTTCTTTGCGTGCACATTTGGGCCGCATTGTGCTAATATTTCCACATAGTGAGGTAGATATGTGGGGGCGTGTTAGAACGAGCCGTTTTAGGGGGGCGTGGCAGAGTCTTAACTTTGATAAAGAATATCTCTTTGGTTTTGAGACTTTAGTCTTTGCAACTTCAGGGATCGTATCTATGCACAATCAGCTTGTAACACTCCAAAGAGTAAGCAAAACTTGAAATCGCATCATATGACCCCTTTAAGTAAAACTTTAATAATATTAAAATCACACTGTTGCATTGTGGAATACGGTATCTAACAGATGTAATAGGTGAATGGATATTAAATGCATAAGAAAATTCACTGTGTGCCCAGTATATGGTACATACTAAAGTATATAATACTACAGTACATACTGCAGCAACAGGTCCAATGCTATTTGGCTTTTCTTTGCACAAAAAACACACAGACGACGGGTTTGGCAGATATAGATATGCATTTATAGGTTTGATTTTGTTTTTTGTTTTCATACCAGATAAATAAAAAGTTAACAATACAATCTGGTCACTATTATATGTGGAGTCCGTATGATAATAATGACCAAATTAAAACATGATTGTCACTCAGTGTGCTTCACAAAAATCTGTCAATGAATAAATTATCTGGTGAACTTCATCTATTTACAGTATAAACAAAAGAAATGATCACGAACACAAGCTTTGGATCTTGGGACGGGACGTTTCAGCAGTTTTTCCATCGTTCCACACAAACACAACCACAGAGAGGGCAGAAACACGCGTTAATATGAGCGCTTTAATGCCACGCATGATCGACTGTACATGCCAGACGCCTGGAGTTCATAAAAACAATGATAAAATCAACATCCACGTGATGTGCATTCCACACAAACATGAAGACACTCGTCTGATGAGGAGACGACGGCAAGAAACGTGTTGAGGAACAGAAGACACGAGCGGATGGAGATAATCGTGAGGCGAGTGCAGGGAAACATCGGTTCGGTTCGGCTCGTGTGTTTCTGCTCCAGTTTCAGCCGTCGTGTGTTTCAGTGTCCGGGGAAGGTGAGACATCAGAGCAGCTTACGCTCACATTACCCAGAATTCAAGTATTCCAGTGCCACCTCATAGCAGAACTTATACTGATCCTGCAGGAGAAACACACACACACACACACACCAGCAGAGGTCAGTGTAACACAATATGTCAACACAACGTTTAACTATTTAACCCTCATAATGCATTCAAAATCTATATGCTATTTTCTTATTCTGGACCAGAAAAATTGTTATTTTATAAAACAGTCATAACTTATTATTTTTCAACTAAAACCATCTGATCAGCAACTTCTCATTAATGAGTCAATGTGAATTTTTTTTTTTAAGTTTTGAATGTTACCACATTATTACTGCATTTACCCTTTCTTATTCATTAAAAAATTTAGAAAACTCTTTGAAATTTAAAATTACACATCCAACCTAACAAAACTAAGATGCAAAATATATATTTCTCAATTTCATTTGAATATGTCATTGTGTGAAATTCATAAAAACATATAATCTGAGAATTACCAGTATCAACGCCATTGGAAAGAATTAAATTAAATTAAATGAATTTGCATTATAACTCATGATTGCTCAAAAACAGCCAAAATTTATGAAACCATCATTTAACAAAAAAAAAGCTCGTTTTGAGGGTCTTAAAGCATTTGCAAAGTTTGTTCTCTTACTAAACTATGCATTGTTTAGTAATTTTTATGTATCTCTTCCGGCTCAAAACAAACTGAATGCGTTATGAAGGTTAAGTTGTTAGTGGTGGTAGACATGATAATACACCTTCTTTTTTTACATTTATACTTTATTTGAAAAAATTAAAATAAATAAAATAATAAATAATGCATAAATAAATAAATAAATAAATGTAAAATAGAAATGCAACATTTTTGTCATTTTTATTTTATTTTATTTATTACTTTTTAAATGTTAGATTATATTTTTTAAGTTTTTTAAATTCTTTTATAGGAACATTTTGATGATTTAATAAATTATTAAATTGTACATTTTTATGAAATCAACCGATTAGACACGATTTTTGATGATTAAAACCAAATTAAACCATTACAACTGAAACCAGAAAAATTAAAACAGAATTTGCACCCTACAAATGTCTGAATGCTGGTTTTCAACAGCAAAAATTATAATTTTTTTTTTACTAAACATTTTATTAGATATTTTGCACAGGACTACTACACTGACATTGCATGACTGAACATATACTGTATGTGCATTATTATTATTATTTTTTTTTAATTTTTATCATTAAACAGTTTAAATGTCAGTGTTAGACTCATTTCCCCTTTGGTTTTGCGCCAGTAAAATCCTCAGTAGATGCTCAAACCGCTGTCAGGTGTGGATGTGGATGTTCTGACGCTCACCAGCAGATCCACCATGTTGGGTTTGTTGTTTCTCAGTGTTTTAACGGCGTGAAAGACGTCCACCGAGTGCTGGTGACACAACATCTCACACACGATACTGATGGCACAGAACGTGCCGCTGCGGCCGCCGCCGTTACTGAAACACACACACACACACACGATCATCATCAACACATCACAATAAAACATCTCACACACGATACTGCGCCCGCCGCCGTTACTGAAACACACATCATATATGATCATCAGCAACAGTACATGAAGTACATAAAACATTTCAGTCTCACAGCTGTCATTTCTGACTGATGCTGCTGTAATTGCCTCTAAATCAAAACTAAAACTAAAACCGTTAAAAAAACAGTTTCATTAGGCCCTACTTGAAATAAAATAAACAAGAACCGAAATAAAATCTAAAAAAAATTTAACTTAATTTTTTTTCAGCTAGCTGCCAAGGCAACATTTCTCATTTTCTTTTAATTTAACATGAAATATTAAAATAACTGAAAGTGGAATAAAAATTAATAAAACTATATAGACAAAAAAATAAATAAAAATGACAAAAACACTCAACAAACATAATAAAACCTTAACTAAAATGAAAATGAAAAAGGAAAACAAAAATAACAACTAATTCAAAATGAATACAGGAAAATAATGTTGCAAAACACATTCAAGTGAATTCAATTTCAGCTGTAAAGCACCTCAACAGAATTCACAACAATTACAAATCTGAATTAAAGTTACAATCTCAAATATATTTACTACTGTTAAGCACATTTAATCAATCTCAGGTTGACTTTGGCCGCACTGACAGGCGTATCTTGACACTATTTATGTTGATGTGCACTCAGTTTGTTGTGTTGAATCTGGTGTGTGAGCAGTAGGTGGCGCTGTTCTCCCGCTCATGAACTGCAGCTCATTATTCAGCACAATCACTGCATCTCTCTCGCTCATGAACTCCTGTGAATGTTTATTTCAGGATAAACAGGATTGGGCGGGACAGATGTGTTTCCTGAGAGCGAGATCAGAATCTCTCTGAGACTCTAACGAGAATCACGTGACTCGTTACAGACTCGTCTGTTTCTCAGCCGATGTTCCCCGACCAGACCGAGAGACTCGCTTTACTAGTACAGTGTGTGAAATATCATACAGTTCTGGATGACCAATAAGGCTTTTCACTAATCAAACTGTAATACTTACTACATATTATATCAGATATTCAAAGCAACATTATCCAGCTCAGTTCAGTTTAAGTGTTTTTTCTGGATGAGCTGAACTGATCTGAATAATGACTCTATTGTCTTCTGTAGAGCTGCTTTACAGCTCAATCTGAATTAGTTCCATTCATTTTCTGACATTAACACTGTTAATTGCACTCGTATTTAGCATCATTTGCAGAATCTTGCAATCTAAATACGTGCCTCTTGACTTAAAACTTAAAAAAAAAAAAATGCATCTCGAGACCTTGAAGATATTTTTTCATTTCATAGCCCTACATCTTGTGTTTTTAAACCCAAAAACACATTCTTTGTGCATTTAGTCACTGAGAGCAAATCACACAGATATTTTTATTGATAACATTTACACAATTTCCTTGAATATATTTGAAACTTTGATGAGACAAATATCAGCTAATCTAATCAGAGATAACTGGGTTATTACTAAAACTACAACCAGTAAAAACATCTAAAATAAAATAAATGTTCACTTTAAAAAAAAAACAAAAAAAACCTAGTCTTTCACTCAGAGACGCCAGAGTTATTACTAAAACTAAAACCACTAAAATATTTAAAATTAAATCAATGTGAATTTAAATGATAATAATAAAAATAAAACAAAATATTAAATAATGTAAACTTATATTATTTTTGCAGGTGTCCAAGGAAACATTTCTTATTTTCATTTAGCTTACCTTGATATTAAAATAACTTAAAAATAAAACTGAAATAAAATTAATAAAAAACTACATAAACATTGCAAAAAAATAAAAAATAAAATAAAATTGTACAAAAAGATAAAAACAAATTCTAAATATTAATATATAAATTAGAAGGCTTCACTAGATCCTTCTATTCTGAATAACTTCCATCCCATTTCTGTTTTACCATTTATTTCAAAGGTTTTAGAAAAAATTGTGTTTGACCAACTGCAGTTCTTTCTAAATCTTGATTGTATTACTGAATGTTTTCAATCTGGTTTTAAATCTGCTCATAGTACTGAAACGGCCCTTCTCAGAGAGTTAAACGATGTCCTTTTAGCTACCGACTCTGGTGATTCTGTGGTCCTGGTTCTCTTAGATTTATCAGCAGCTTTTGACACTGTGGACCACTCTATTTTGATATCTAGATTAGAGTCAGATGTGGGCCTAAAAGCTATGGTCCTTAAGTGGTTTCAGTCATTTTTATCCAACAGAAATTTTTTGTCAAACTAGGTAACTTCTCTTCCTCTGTTGCTCCTCTCACCTGTGGCATCCCTCAAGGCTCGATATTGGCACCCTCCTTTTTTCCCTGTACATGCTTCCTCTGGGTTCCATTCTAAGAAGGTAATACAGCTAACCAATCACAACACATTTCGTTTTTTTCGAAAGGCGGGCCTTCATTAAAACCCAGAACTAATCGAGCCGTTTGTGCCAGGCTGGGGAGAAAGGTATTGTAATAATGTAAATTATGTGAAAAATAATGCGTTTTTCGAACCACCAAGCATGAGAGCATGTTCTAGTACACCCCCAAAACATAATCAAGACTTTGTAAAAGAGCATAATAGGACCCCTTTAAGAGAAATGATCCTTCAGCACTTAATACCTTACTAAGGTGCTTAGACGAGAAATTTTTTAACGTTAAATGAAGATAAAACAGAGGTGATTGTTTTCAGTCCTATTGATCATTCTTAGGCTACCAGCCTAGATCTGGGCAGCTTATCGGCTTTCAGATCTTCTCAGGTGCGAAATCTGGGTGTCCTTCTTGACGAGTCATTAAAATTGGACAAACATATCTCATTTGTAATTGGTTCCAACTCCGCTTGCTGTCTAAAATCAAACACTTTTTAAATGCTACGACGTTAGAGATGGCTGTCCACGCTTTTATTACTTCACGCTTAGATTACTGCAACTCACTATATTGCGGTATTTCAAAGTCACAAATTACTCGCCTACAATTGGTCCAAAACGCTGCTGCTAGATTTCTTCAAAATAGTCGCAGATGTGACCACATCACCCCCATACTGAGGGCCCTTCATTCAATTTAGAATCGATTTTAAAGTTCTCTTACTGGTGTATAAATCTTTACATAACCAAGCCCCTAGTTATCTCTCAGAGCTGTTGCACTTTTATACTCCCACTAGAAGTCTAAGATCCAGTGATCAGTATCTCCTTTTAGTTCCTCTGTCCAGACTAAAACGTAGAGGGGAGTCTTATTACATTGTATTATGGTCTTGTTTATCTGACATTCCTTTGGTTTTAAATTCATATGTTTTATTATTTCTGTTTTATGTGTTTATGGTTTGATTTTAATGTACAGCATTTTGGTCAGTCTCGTGGCTGTTTTTAAATGTGGTTTATAAATAAATGAACTTGAACTTGATACATAAAAAAAAAATATTAAAAATAAAACTTTTCATTTATAAAAATACATTGTAAATATTAATAAAATCTAATTCTAAATATTACAAACAAAATTTAAATGTTTAATAAAAAATCTAATTATAAATATTAATTATAAATATGCTAAATAAATATTGCATTACTGTTAACAAAAATAACAAATATTCTAAGTATGGATATATAAGACTGAATCTGAGGAGCGGTGACTCACAGGCAGTGCACGACGGTGCGTCCCTCTCCTCCGTCGTACTCCTCCTGCCATTTGTCCACCTGTCGGATGAGTTTGAGGAAGGAGCGTTTGGAGACGGGAGTGTCGCGGTACATCGGCCAGCCCAGAAACTGGAACTGCTGCACCATCCGGTACCCATCTTGCGGCTGCACACAAACCACACGCTCATGACACTCAAACAGCCGACTCTCGCGTAAGTGTGCAATGTAAGCAAACGCGTTTACTCACCCGTGCCGCGTTATAGATGCGGAAGATCCTGCTGATGATGTCCTCCTCCAGATCCGCAGACACAAACTCCACCTGGATGGGTCCGTGCCGATGGACGCCGTTCTCTGGCCAGTACTGTGGACACAACTGGACACAAAACACACCAATCACACACATCAACATCACACATGTCAATTCAGTGGCCAGGTTCCATGGCTGATCAGTTTCACTAGGTCAAATTTTTCTAAAACAGCATGTCTATGCTGGTTCACCAGCTAGACCAGCAATTAAACAGGGTAAACCAGCCTAGACCATCAATTATCCAGTATAAACCAGTCTAGACCAGCAACTGACCAGTCCAAACCAGCCTAGACCAGCAACCAACTAGTATAAACCAGCCTAGACCAGCAACCAACTAGTATAAACCAGCCTAGACCAGTAACTGACCAGTATAAACCAGCTTAGACAAGCAAATGACCAGTATAAACCAGTTTAGACCATCAATTATCCAGGGTAAACCAACCTAGACCAGCAACTGACCAGTATAAACCAGCTTAGACCAGCAAATGACCAGTATAAACCAGTTTAGACCAGCAACTGACCAGTCCAAACCAGCCTAGACCAGCAACCAACTAGTATAAACCAGTCTAGACCAGCACCTGACCAGTATAAACCAGTCTAGACCAGCACGTGACCAGTATAAACCAGTCTAGACCAGCAACTTAGTATTGTCATAATCTTTCATCTGAAATTACTTTTTCATCACAGGTTATTGTATAATGTTCACTAACAGCCAAATAGCAATTTACACATTGCTTGATCAAACTCAAATATAAAAATAAATAACTTACATAAAAATAAAAATAAATAACTTATTAATAAACCATAAAAATAAACCATAAAAATAAATAAATTATTAAAAAATACAATCAAAATAATCACTTTAAAATAAAACAAGTAAAACAAAACACTTTTTAATAACGAAATCATAAAATTGTACAAATAAAATAATTGTAAAATAAAAACAATAAAAAACAAATAACATTAATACGTAAATCATAAAAATAAACAATAAAAATTAAATAAATAAATAATTAAAAAATAAAAAATCAATATAAACAATGTTTATAAATTTTTTTGTTTACCTGCATGTCATGTGACAGTTAACTGATATCAGAGAAATATGAAAATTAACTGATATCAGAGAAATATGAACCACGCAAATGTGTTGTTAAATTATTCAAATATTAACAAAATGTCATGGAGGCTTTCAGTCCAAGTGATTGTTCAACTGACAGAAACGCTTGGGAACTCCTGATTAATTTGATGTCAGAGCAGTGCATGTGTGACAGACACATCTGCAGCAGGAGTCTGCGCTGCTGCGTGTCTCTGATCCTGACGGCCGTGTTCAGGTGTGTGTGTGTGTGTGTGTGTGTGTGTGTGTGTGTCTCACCTGCGCGGGATCCACGTCGTTCAGCATCACTATAGACGTGCAGTGATAGTCCAGCGCCAGCCTCCAGAAGTCTTTGACGGTGTTGGGCAGAGGATGCTGGGTAACGATGAACGCAGACGGCTGCTTGTAGCTCTGTGAAGATGAAGAGAGGAAAACATCTTATTTCCTGTCTGACTGTCTGCTTGAATAATAGTGTGGAGAAGTTTAGCGTTGAGCTGCGTGTTTTATTACCGCCGCCAGCGCTTCCATTTACTGTAATGAAAACAAATGCACTGTCGCGTGTTTTACAAACAAACCCATCCCAGTCAATTGTCTTACTGCATTTTTGTTTGTTCGTTCTCTGTTATGGATCGCTTTTAACTATTTTCCTGACAATAAAATGAATCAATTCCATCTGTTTTTGAATTATTTTCAACAAGCACATAATCGTGTGTGCTGCGATTCACATCCATCAGAGACACTGTCGCTTCAGACGCACAAAAACGAGCGGTTATTATAGACACGGATGCAATTAATAGTTAATAAAATCATAAATGTGGAAAATTTACATAATTTTAAAATAAAAACAAAACAGTACTAATTAAATCATAAAAATGTATAATAATCATACAAAATGTATTAAAAAGTCAAATAAAACCATTTTAACAATAATAATTCATAATTTTAAAATAAAACAAAGTAAAACACTTAAATTTTTTTTTTTATAAAAATGTAAAAACAAAAATAATAATAATAATAATTGAAATAAAACATTTATTAATAGTGAATTAAATAATAAAAACTATAATAATTCATAATAAACTATCATAAAAATGTGAAATAAAAAAAAAAAAAAAAAAAAAATTCAATCCATATAAAACACTTACAGTACTAATGATTAATTAAATCATAAAAATGTAAAATTAAAATAAATAATAAAAAAAAACAATAAATCAAAATAAAACACTTATTAATAAATAGTTCAATAATATAAAATGAAAATAAATCATTCTAAAATAGAAACAATTGAATTAAACATTTATTATTTAATGAATTAATAATAATTAAATCAGATCATAAAAAATATATAATAATGTAATAATTATATAATAATAATTGAAAATGTGAAATGACAATACTATTAAAATAAAATCAATCAATAAAATAAAAGCACTAATAAAAAATAAAACTATAAAAAAACAATAAAAACAAATAAATAACATAATAAATTTTAACATTTAAATTAATTCAAATTAATCAATTAATCAAAATAAAATAAATTTTACATTAAATTAATTAATTAAACTTAGGTTAAGCGCTGCAGGTAATGGTCACTAGGTTAAGCGCCGCAGGTAACGATCACTAGGTTAAGCGCCACAGGTAACAGTGACTAGGTGAATATCTAAGGTAACGGTCACTAGGTTAAGAGGTGAGGTAACGGTCACTAGGTTAAGCACTGCAGGTAACGATAACTAGGTTAAGAGGTGAGGTAACGGTCACTAGGTTAAGAGGTGAGGTAATGATAGGTTAAGTGCCGCAGGCAACGATCACTAGGTTAAGTGCCGCAGGCAACGATCACTAGGTTAAGCGCTGCAGGTAACGGTCACTAGGTTAAGCGCAACAGGTAACGGTCACTAGGTTAAGCGCCACAGGTAACGGTCACTAGGTTAAGAGGTGAGGTAATGATCACTAGGTTAAGCGCCACAGGTAACAGTGACTAGGTGAATATCTAAGGTAACGGTCACTAGGTTAAGAGGTGAGGTAACGACCACTAGGTTAAGAGGTGAGGTAACGATCACTAGGTTAAGCACTGCAGGTAACGGTCACTAGGTTAAGCGCTGCAGGTAACGGTCACTAGGTTAAGAGGTGAGGTAATGGCCACTAGGTTAAGCACTGCAGGTAACGATCACTAGGTTAAGAGGTGAGGTAACAGTCACTAGGTTAAGAGGTGAGGTAACGGTCACTAGGTTAAGAGGTGAGGTAACGGTCACTAGGTTAAGCGCCACAGGTAACAGTGACTAGGTGAATATCTAAGGTAACGGTCACTAGGTTAAGAGGTGAGGTAATGATCACTAGGTTAAGCACTGTAACTAACGGTCACTAGGTTAAGCGCTGCAGGTAACGGTCACTAGGTTAAGCGCTGCAGGTAACGGCCACTAGGTTAAGCGCTGCAGGCAACGCTCACTAGGTTAAACGCTGCAGGTAACGGTCATTAGGTTAAGTGCCGCAGGCAACGATCACTAGGTTAAGTGCCGCACGGTCACTGGGTTAAGAGGTGAGGTAACGGTCACTAGGTTAAGAGGTGAGGTAACGGTCACTAGGTTAAGTGCTGCAGGTAACGGTCACTAGGTTAAGTGCTGCAGGTAACGGTCTCTAGGTTAAGCGCTGCAGGTAACGTCACTAGGTTAAGAGGTGAGGTAACGATCACTAGGTTAAGAGGTGAGGTAACGGTCACTAGGTTAAGCGCTGCAGGTAACGGTCACTAGGTTAAGAGGTGAGGTAACGGCCACTAGGTTAAGCGCTGCAGGTAACGCCACTAGGTTAAGCGCTGCAGGTAACGGTCACTAGGTTAAGCACTGCAGGTAACGGTCACTAAGTTAAGCACTGCAGATAACGGTCACTAGGTTAAGCACTGCAGGTAACGGTCACTAGGCTAAGCACTGCAGGCAACGGTCACTAGGTTAAGCACTGCAGGTAACGGTCACTAGGTTAAGATCTGAGGTGTGTGCGAGGTGCCGTACGTCCATGAGCGCGGCGTTGATGTAGTTGCTGCTCTCTCCGTCGATGGTGATGAGGAAGGGCAGGCAGCGGTCCGGAGGAAGAACGTCCATACAGCGGTTCTTCTCATGGTTCCGCGGCAGCAGCGCGATGCTGCAGTCCTCCACCCGCAGCGTGGGCGTCACCATGTTTAACGTCTGCCAAAGAAAAACACAAATCAAACTCATGCACACACTTACATCACTATATTCTATTGATTTATTTTATTATTTAATTAATTGTTATTGTATTTTATTCTATTAATAATATAACATGTTTTATTTTGTTATTCAATGTATTTACAGCTATATGTAATATTTTAATTCACTGACTCTGAACTCCTCTTTGATCTGGCTGGAGTTGGTCTGCGGGTCCAAGCGGTTCATGTCATAATACACAGAGCGAAGCTGATTGGCCGGGATCGTGGTGTCGCCACAAAGACACGCCTCCAATATGGCATCATGGATAAACACATACTGCTCCTGAAATATCAGCATATCAAAAACAGATCAATACAACCATATCAATCACAGCTCACTGATATCATTTGATGTGGTGATTGATTGGTGTTTTATTTTGGTTAACATGTCAGTTTTAAAATCTGCAGATTTTTTTTTCTATATATTTTGTTATTATTTTACTTTTCAGTTTTCATTTCAAACATTTTTTTATTATTATTATTATTTTTCTATTTTATTTTTTTTTTAATTTTGTCGTGCTTTTGTCCTTTTTGTTCTTTTTAAATATTACTATTTAGGTTTTAGTTCAGTTTCAGTTTTTATTTATTTCCAATTAATAAAACTAATTAATATTTAGTCCAGTTAAAAGAATCTAATGTTTGTAAATGTATCAATTATTCAAATGTATCAAATTATTCACACTTTTATGGTCAGAACAGATGCATCAGGACATAATCGACTATGTTTTCAGCTTTCTCCTCGATGTCTCTGTCCTGTGTGTCCACATGCGGACCGGTCATCTCTCGATCGCTGACGGCGGTCTGACAGCTTGACGTAAATCATTCATGAAGTGACATTTTAAATATGCCTGCGGTCGCCACTCCTCAGAAAGTCCTTGACCGAAGCTGACGGTCAGATAAGGTCTCAGGCTATACAATCATAGTTACATATGAGTGCTTGTTTCTTTTGTCTATATTGAAAATTCATGTAAAGAAAAAAGTTCTAAAATATGTCTAAATGGGCGGGGCTGGAGAGAGAGGCAGCGTTTGATTGGCTGCGGCTGATGTGAGGATGTCTGTGATTGGTTACCTCCGTCTGCACCATGTTGACCCTGCGAGAGCGCAGTTCTCTCACGCAGTTGTAAATGTCCACGACTCCTTCTCGCTCCGCCATGTCCAGCATGATGTCAATCACAATGAAGCAGCCGGTGCGTCCCGCTCCAGCGCTGAGGACCAAACAACAGCTGTTATTACTACACACAGGTACTAATATGTACCTATTAGGGGTAAAAAGGTACAAATATGTCCTTTTAAGGGTACTGCTCCAGGGACAAGCTGTTGTACCCCAAAAGGTACAATATTAAACCCCTTTTTTCTGTGTGTACCCTAGCAACCTTTTCTTCCCAAAGCAAATAGCAACAAATTTAGCTATTTTTAAAATTAATTCGGCAACTTTTAGTAACTTTTGAAACAATAAAAAGGTAGACATTTTCCATCTAAATTACACAAAAATAGGAAACGAAAAGCAAAGATGCCTAGCAGTACACACATCACGTGATATTTGCAACTGTTAAATTTATTAATAATAATTGAACAATTGAATAATTGTTCATTTATGATACACCTTGTTAGTAGCTTGTACCTGTGATTGTTGATCAGTTAGTACACTGTAAAGGTCCTTGCACACTGAGTCTGAAGTTTTCATGTGCGTTTTTTCGTATTTGTCATCCTTTTCTATCAAAATGCTTGCTACGGATGTGAAAACACAGAAAATCGAACCTGATCTCAATTTTTTTATGATGGATGAAAGTTTGGGAGGCAGTGTGTAAACGTGATTGACACAACATGAGGTTGTATTTGTTTTTAACAAGTGAAAATTTCAGACGAGAATTTTGGACTCAGTGTGCAAAGACCCTAAGAAAAATATCTAGACAAATGGAAAAGGTACTAGTAATTTTCAAGGACATTATTTATTATCCATTATCTGTCGTAACCCTGTGACCCAAAAAACACAAAATACAATGCGTAATTTAAAATGCTGTGAAAAATCAATACAGAAAATTCCTTCACATTAACAAAGTAGATTGTGCCCTATTTTTAAAGACTTTTCTTAGAGTGTAGCATACTAACCAACTACTAATACACTGCTTAAAACTATAATTGTTCAGAATGTGTAGTTTACTAGCTAATAAAAAAATAAAACTTAAATTGTAATTGTTCAAAATTAATAGTATTTTACAAACAAATCTAAATTAACATATATAAAATATATTTTTGACAGCTTTGATGGAGTGGCAATTTTGCGTTGTGATTACGTGATTGTGCAATGACATCATTTAGCAACTTTTAGCAACACATCGACCTTCCTTTAGCAGCTTCCCCTGAAAGTTAGTTGGCAAAACTGCGATTCTGTGAGGAAGAGACTGATGCTCACCTGCAGTGGATGACCATCGGGCCGGCGTTGGCTGGACTCTTGGCTTTGACCCGGCGGACGAAGCCCAGCAGCCCCGTGGCGTGATACGGGACGCCGTGATCCGGCCAGCCGGTGAAATGAAACTGACGGATCTCCCTGATCTCATGAGCTCCTCGCTGGAGACCACAAACACACAAACAGCACATTTAAAGACATGACATCAGAATGGACAGATGACCAAAAAAAAATAAAAAAGTCAAAAGAACAATTCTATCTATCTATCTATCTATCTATCTATCTATCTATCTGTCTGTCTATCTATCTATCTGTCTGTCTCTCTGTCTATCTATCTATTTATCTGTCTGTCTGTCTCAATTCATATTGCTTTATTGGCATGACATACTTAGGTACATATTGCCAAAGCATTGTACATAGCAGAATAAAAACAAACAAAACAAAAATACATGTAAAATGCATCCATATATATATTTATATAAACACTGCCTGTCTGTTTGCCTGTCTGTCTGCCTGTCTGTCCGTTTGTCTGCCTGCCTGCCTGTCTGTCTGTCTATCTATCTATCTGTCTGTCTCTCTGTCTGTCTCTCTGTCTATCTATCTATATAAAATACAATCTAAAATATGTATACAACTCATTAAATATATTTAAAATGAAATTATAATTTATAATTACTTATTAGATGATTTATATACATATATTAAAAATAAAAAATAATAACAAAAAGTAATTTTAATTATACAATTTATATAGTTATAAATTTTAACTTTAATTTATAATTATTTTAAATTATTTATTATTTCATTATAACACACACAAATATACAGTATATATATATTGCAGTATATATAATAAAAAATCTAAATAATATATATAAATATTTTAATATATATTTTATATTTAATATATTTTAATAGATATTTTAACCTTGTAACTATTTATGATAGCTATAGAGATAGCTATGAAGACAATACTGAAACAATAATCAGTGATTAGATGTGTTTTGTGAACAGGATACTGAGTCTCGGTTATGATCAGTGTTATAGTTTGACAGTAAGTTTGATTGTGTAGTTTAATAGAAAATCTGCCGAGTTTGACGTGTAGTGTAGTTTGGTGCCGAACCTTTTCCACAGCGAAGGTTCGAATGACGTATTCAGACAGCAG